TACATGCATTTATCAGCTTTTTTATTACACGTTTTTCTCAAAAATTTGATCGGCTACCTCAAATTTTCAAAATACAGATTGAAAGATTACAATGTAAGGAGTATCCCTGTTAAATTTTATTAGGATTTTTTTTTTTATTAAAAATCGCTCAAGCCACCTTAATCGTTATTCAAATGGAATGGATGGGGAAATAATAGATTGTTGATAGGCCAGTCGTTTGAATCCGAGTCAACGCTCTTGATTGGTAGCTCGCGCCAACCGAGCGCTCTGATTGGTCGGGGTTTTTTGTTAATAACTCCTCAACCACGACTTGAACAATTTTTTCGTTAAGGAAAATGTTGTTTAAAATTACATCAGGAACCTCCCATTTTAATATCTTACACTAGTTTTGGAACACCCTGTATAAATTTTGAACAAGCTTTCATAACTCGATTTCATGTAATTTTGTTAATATCTATTGATGTATTCTCGTGTATATAAAACGGATTTTGTTTAATAAATAAATAAATAAACTGACAATTATTTAACGTATTAATTTATTAATTTGAGATTAAATATATTTTATTCAATGATAAATTAAAACGTACAAATAATGTTTTTGAACCGTAGTGTACCTTCGATATCCTGAAATCTTTCCGGAAGATTATCTTGAAGAACTTCCAAAAGAGGGGAACGAGTCAGTTATTCCGCTGGATGAAACCAACAGAAAGAACGACCACTCAAACCCTTCAGTCTGAAATCTAAAAAGCATCCGACAATCCCTCGTCCCTCTTCGAGGAAAAAGCACGGATATAATAACCGAGCCGGGAGGAAATGAATCGCGAAACTCCCTACTGTCAAATTAGAATTAGAAGTAAATAGAAACGTCGATGGAGGGAGGGAAGTCCGTCGCGCGAGTCGGCAAGATTTATAAGCGCCGCGCGGCTCGGCAATAAAATGGTATCGATTAGCCGAGTGAAGCGAGTCGAGACAACAATGAGGAGAGCGGAGGCTGGCAAGAATTCAAAAGTTTCCCAGCAAGTATCGCTCGGTTTCCAGAAAGCCGTTGGATGGTTTTCGACCCTATTCCAGCGCCTCGAGTCGCTATCGACTAATGCCGACGTATTGACTAATGGCCGGGGGGTTGCGCCGCGCCGCGGCACGCCGACGTGCAAATTTAAGTAGTATGTACCGCTCCGTGTCAGACCGGACACGCTCGAAGAGGCTCGGTCGGTCGACGACGACGACGCGACCGGGCGGACCAGCAACGTTTGCTTATAAGGGCGTATTTATGTAACATGGAGGACGGCTAAGGGATTGGCTTCCTTTGCTCCGTCGTCGTCGCGCGACCTACATTCTACCCTGCGAAGCGTCTGAGGAAAAAGGGGTCATGAACGCGATACGAATGCGCCCGCGCGAACGTCACCCTCACGCGGGCCGACGAAATTCGTACGAAATATTCTTTTTCAGGTCTCTGGGCTAAGGTTCTACCACCAATTAAGTCTAACGTCTACAAATTAACCTAAATCAACGGTGTTCTAGACATAGACAATGAATTGTGGGAGATTTGTAAAAGAACTGTACAAGCGATGAATTTAAAGTATGTCTTCCATATTTAAAAATGCATAGAAACGTCTATGTAGAATTTAGTATTTTCTAATTGGCATAAATAATTGGCAGTCTATTTATTAGAAGTAACTTTTCGTGGTTTCGAAGGGGCCTTACCAATGTGACCATCTAAAATTTAGGTCATTTATGGGAATTTTTTTTTAACAAAAGTATTCTATGGAATTTGGTTAAACTTTATGCATGTATTTGCATATAAATGAACTGTAAAATAATTTTTTCGTACAAAAATAACTAAAGGCAACCAAGTTATGCGTTATCTCTCGAGACACCATAAAAAAGTGCCTCAATTGCTGACATCATACAGTTTGCTAGAGTGTCTGAAATGGAAAAAGACAAAGACGATCTTAAACTAGAAAGTATTCTCCGTTTAATGACGTAGGATATCCGAGAAATGTTGAAATTAGACAAAATGGTGGTGTTTTAAAGAAATTTTGCGATTTTTCCTTAAAAAAATTGTCGTTTTTTCTTGATGAAATTATAGTTTTCATCCAATCAAGAATATCCTACGTCATTCAACAATAAAGAATGTCCAGAACAATCTGTTAAAATTTCAGGTCAATCGGATAATTGGTTTTTGAGTTATAGTGTCAGCAAATTTGAAAAATACTATTTCGAAAAAAACGAGTATAAAGTATTAACTATTACATTATTACTTATATTATACTAGCTGCCATTCCTCCCACTAACATCCCCTCCTTCTCCCCCCATCGATGGGATAGATGTACACATACTTTTCTATTTTATAAATATAGATATACTAACATCCATTTTTAACATATTCTCCTTGAAATTTT